GAAAGGAAAATGACACTCACCAGCTGTGACCAGCACGGCGACGCAGAAAGCCAAGATCAACCACTTCATTGTCGTGTTCACCACAGCAGACTGTTGTCGACTTGTCAGTTTACGCTTCTTCCAATCGATGATCATTTTAGTCAGATATGTTCTTTTATACAGTGCCGTGAAAAAATATTTGCCCCCTTCCTGATTACTGTGTTCTTGGAATATTTATCAAACACGAGTTACAGTTCATCAAACCGATTTTAATATCACACAGACAACCCAAGGAAATACAAAATGTGGTTTTCAAATGACAATTCAAATCATTCGGGCACAAAAAAAAAAACACCTTTCTGACCCTCTGTGAAAAAGTAATTACCCCCAGAACCTAATACTGGGTTGTGCCAACCTTGGCAACAATAACTGAAATCAAGCATTTGTAATCATTATTGATGAGTCTTTAACAGCGGTGTGGAGGAATTTTGGCCCACTCTTCTTCGCAGAATTGCTTCAACCCGGCCAGATTGAAGGGTTTTCTAGCATGAACTGCCTGTTTAAGGTCACAGCACATTATCTCAGTTGGATTCAAATCTTGACTTTGACTTGGCCACTCCAAAAGCCTTAATTTTATTTTATTTTTTTTTAGCCATTCAGAGGTGGACTTGCTGGTGTGCTTCACATCATTGTCCTGCTGCGTGATCCAAAAGCGCTTGAGTTTGAGGGCACAAACTGATTGTCGGACGTTCTCCTTCAGGATTTTCTGTTGGACAGCAGAATTCATTGTCTCATCAATCACAGCAAGTTGTCCTGGTGCTGAAGTAGCAAAGCAGCCACAGACCATCACACTGCCACCAACATGCTTCACTGTTGGCATAATGTTCTTTTGATCAAATGCGTGCCATTTTTACGCCAGATTTAACAGGCGGCACATCTACCATAAAGTTCCATTTTTGACTCATCAGTCCACAGAATGTTTTTCCAAAACTCTTGAGGATCATCAAAATGTCTTTTGGCAAATGTGAGATGAGCCTTTGTGTTCTTTTTGGACAGCAGTGGTTTTCTCCTGGGAGCTCTCCCATGGATGCCATTTTTGGCCGATGCCTTTTTTAGGGTAGAGTCGTAGAGTCGTGTACACTGACGTGCTTTGAGGCCAGCGAGGTCTGGAGTTCTTTCGAGTTCTTTGGGTGTTCTAGGTTCTTTTGCAACCTCCTGGATGAGTCATCGTCAATTTTAGCTGGTTGCCAAATCCTGGGAATGTTTGACACTCTTCCCAGTTTTATCCATTTGTGGATCATGTCTCTGACATTGGTGTGCTGAAGCCCCAGAGTCTTGGAAATGGATTTGTAACTTTTTCCAGACTCATAGATTTAAATACCGTATTTTCACGACTATAAAGCGCCAATAAAAGTCTTAAATTCTATCCAAAATGGACAGGACGCCTTATAATGCGGTGCGTGTTGTGTATGCGCAGAGTTCCAAAGCCTGACTGAGAGCACCTCTGGCCAACACGCTGTTTATATAGAGAAAAGGTGGACGTGAGTGACGACAGGCATGCGGAAGTCGGCCAATGAGTGAAGGGTGGGCATGTCAGAGGATGATAAAGGCACGTCCCTAGCAGGTAGCAGTCGCCAATGAGTGAAGGGTGGGCGTGTAAGAGGACGCTAAAGGCACACCCCTAGCAGGTACCAGTCGCGTGAGTACATTGTAAAATGGCTCAATAAAGTACAACCGAACTCAGTTTTGCTTCCGTTGCCTTTTTAAAAACGTGTTTTTCGCGTGTGTCCGTATGTCTTAGCTGCTACCGTATGCTTTAAGCTAACATACCTGGTATGTTTTAGCGTGCATGCATGCTCCCGAATGCTTCAAGCTAACGTGTTTTTAGCGTGTGTGCATGCATGCCGTATGTTTAAGCTGGCGTATGTTTTACCATGCCTGGCTGCGCCCAATCATACAGTGCGTTTTGTGTATGTGTCAAATACAGAAATAGCACCCGTTACTGAGACTGCGCCCAACAATACGGTGCGCCGAATGGTCGTGAAAATACCGTAACTGTTTTTCTCATTTCTTCTGGAATTTTTTTTGGATCGTTTGTTTCTTGAGAATTTGGAGCCTACTTCACTTTGTCTTACAGATTCTATTTATATGATTTCTTAATTCAACAAATGTGGATCTCGGGTGTTGCCTGTAAAATCGAACTCAGCTTTCCCAAAACTGTCATTATTCACAGTTCCTTTGAATCGCAATTTCTCTGACAGAAAAAGCCTTGAATGGAATAATGTACACTCAAGACTTCTGTAAACAGCTGCTTTGACTTGGGGAAAACGATTCACATTTCTTTGTTTTCTGGCATTTTAAACCAACAATGTTTTTTACATTTTTTTAATGCTTCGTCGCTCAACTAAGCTCCAAAAAATGATTTGAACCTTGAACCCAATATTGTTTGCCCTGTAGGGCAACGGTCTTCAACCTTTTTTTGCTCCAGGGAGCAGTTTATTATATATTTGTTATATACCGCAACGACCGACGTCCTTGTACTGTCATGATTTTGTGTGTGTTCTGTCCTGCAGCTTCCACGATGTTGCTGAGTTTGTTGTCAGCTTGTTATTGGACATCATATTTTGGCGACAAAGATGGACCTTCACTTTGCGCCACTGATGTTGCGCCTCATCACTCGAACCGGTCCCACTGCCGCCAGCAAGAATCACTCAGGCAGTCAGACTCGAGGTGATTGGACTATCTGAAATTTAGCAACGTGAGGCAAACCGCGTGTTTATTAACAGGGAGTAGGCGAAACAGAGGCAGGCATTCTTGCAGGCACTGACTCTCCCAATCTCTCGCCATGCTAAAAAAACCAAACAAACAAAAAAACACCCCCCACATAAAATAGCATTTGGAGACCCTTAGTGTATGGCACAAACAGTACTTTTAGCGTGACGGAGGCACACATAGGGTAGCGTCATTGATGAGGATTTAGGAATTTGCTCCAGCTCATACTATAAGCTCACGTGGCAGTTGCGGGAACGAGATGGCGACATGGTACAAGTTGTTCAGCGACCACACCCGCAAAGTGAATTCACAGTTCACATGTGGCACTTCACCAACTGTGATGAGCAGGTTATGCCTTCAAACCAAACCTCTGCCCTCTAAGCAAATATGTACACATCATCCAACCAAATAATCATTATGGAGATTTATACTTCAGAAGTTGAATATGCTTCCGCTTTGTGTGTTCTTGGTGGGGTCGGGTTAGTGTCTAGTCAAGATCTATGTCGCATTAGCCTAAATAGTGGTGACGCGACAGTTGGTTCAACTCCCCTGTCGCATTGCTTAGTGGCCCGGTTTTGATGCTGAGCAAACTCAAGGGGGTGCAGTGTGTCCAGAACTGCCTTCTTTACATGTGACATGACTACTTTCTCAAAGCACTTAAACATGACAAAAACCCGAACCTCACCGAAAGACGAAGGTTTGACAAGTGCTTGCGTGAGGCTCGAATGTTGATTTTTTTTTTTTTTATCAGGGTGCATTTCAGGACGGAAACGGTCGCAAAGATGTTCGCTCAACATTCGCAAAGAGTTTTAATGGTCACAACTAGTATTTTTATGTTTCAACTTTCTCTGCCACAAGAAAAGCTGTTTGCAGCCTTTTTGGAACCCTGATGAAAAGCCAACATTTGCGACATACGTAAACACTCGCTGCTCAGTGAGGTGATTTTAGACCTGGGAGTTTGGGGGTTCTACGCAGGCTATTAGTTCTTCTGCAATACAGTGGTACCTCTACTTACGAACGTCTCTTCATACGAAATGTTCAAGTTACAAAACGACTCAAGAGGAAAATATTGCCTCTTGTTCCAAAAGAAATTTCAAGATACGAAAGGTAAAAATACTGTTTGGTCTGCTACTAGCAGCTCCCGAGTTTCCTGAACGCAACATACTTGTAGCTGCTCTGCCATTGGCTATTACCCAGGCTCTTCCTGGCATCCCATTGGCTAAGAGGGACCCCAAACCGTATATGTCTGTGTGTGTCGATAAATAGAGATGCGCCTATCCTTCGTCCTCGTCAATCTTCCCTCGGGCCATGAAGTGTTCCGATAGTTTTACGTAAATGATAATCCCCCAGAAAAAATGTTCACCAGTCGGGCGATCGCACACTCTGCCGATGTTTCCCTTGGACATTTTCGAAGGATTGTTAAAAGCCGACAAACGTAAACGTACTTGGATCAGTTCTTTGCAAAACGCCAGGCAAAAACCTCTTCGAAGACAGAACATGAGCTCAAGAGGGCAAAAAAACGACGAGGGCGCACGTAAATGTGAAATGACCATCATTTTTAATCTTGTGTTATTTACATGATGCACAACTCATTTATTGCGCAATAGTCTAATTCCATCCATTTTTTTGATTCGCTTTATCCTGACAAGGGTCCATAAGATCCCTACATTTCTCACAATTTCTGTTGAGAAACATTCTAAAACTGTTCACAAAGCATCCCGTGCTTGCTTGTGAACTCCTGAGCCTTTCACTGATGTTGCTTTTATTCCCAGTCATGACACTCACCCATTTCCAATGAACCTCTTCACCGGTGGAGTATTCGAAACAGGTGTTTTAAAAAAAATAAAAATTAAAAAAAAAAACACGAATCCAAAAATGTTTCTGTCCTTCCCCAAATGAAGACGAACACTTGGAAAGCAGCTTTGTTGAGCGAGGCACCAGGAGGATGGTGGTGAAGCTGGTGGTATGGTATGTGTGTTTGTTGTGTCCGTGCGCCACGTTCACACACAGTGCAGTCGACTGCATCGAGTGCTGCCCCCATGATTACAAATGCTTTTGTTGTGGTTTTGCGTGCTCAGAAGCCACTTGAGCCATTGGTCCAACAGGATAGTAGTTTTTTTTTTTTTTGTTTTTTTTTTTTTTCTTTGTCCAGGGTATGCATTGCTCGCACCCAAATCCGGTTACTTTCGACAAAAAAGAATTTCACAATCACACAGAATGCAAGAAAAAAAAATCCTCCCATTTTGTTCATCATGTTTTTTAATGCTTTCCAACTAAACTACAGAGAAGATAGGTTGAACCACCAACACACTCCAATCCTTTGATACTTTTCTGAAAGGATTGTCGAAGAGGTCCATTTTGGAGCACTTCAAGTTGGGGGCTTGTCCGCTGTCACTGTCACGGCCACGCGCACTTCTGGCCACGGCTGACTGGAAGACAGAGAAAGGACAACATGGGACCATGCCAGTCTTGTTTTGTTTCTGCGATTAATCACAGTGAAGTTGGTGGTTTGTAGCTTGGATGACATCCTCTGCATGAAACCACGGCACTTGTGCAAAAAGAACCAATGAGAGACAGAAGGCGGACTTATTGGATGTCAGTCATGAATCGCGCATGGTAGCAGTTGTTTCTTGCAAGTGGAATTGGACAGGATGGGGTCAGACATGGCAGCACTGCTCATTGCCATGTCATAGTGACAATCTTGCTGAACTATTCAAACCGTCATATTTTTATTTTTTTCAATCAAATCAATGAACACAATTTGGTCAGTGTGCCAACTCCACGCAGGTGGCAAAAAAGGAAACCACATCTGGCTTTTGCTTTCTTTGTGCACAAGGCTGGCAAAAGACGATGAAACAATGTACAGGTACTCACAGATGACATCATGGCAGATTTGGCCCGGGGCACACTCAACCGTTTGAAGAAAACAAAATGGGACATATGGTTTACAGATACGGCATTGCACAGCTTCACCTGAGGGGTAGAGTTGGGAGTGTTTGAGAAATTGAAATGATTTTTTTTTTTTTTCCTTTTGGCTTGTCCCATTCACCGTCGCCGCAGTGTCTCATCCATTGCATTCAGTTAGTCTTGCGAGTCGTCCTCTCGAACACCGACTGCCCTCGTTTGGCTTTTGACTCTGCATGAAACATGATTTTGAGTTTGACTATTTTTGTGCTTTCTACTGTCTTCGTGACTCATTTGTTTTGTTGTTTGTTGCGGTCTGAATTATTTTTGCTCCGTGTATGGCACTTTGTACACAGCGGTGGTTGTTTAAAAGTGCTCGATAAATACCATTGATTTGACTTGACTCATGTCTTCTCTGGCTCCATCCATCGAGCTCGTCTGGGGTCTTCCTCTTGCCCTCTTTGCCGGCACCGCCAATTCTTGTCACCCTTCTACCAACATATCCTGTCTTGTGAACGTGACCCAACCAGCCCAGGTGGCTCTCTCTCACCTCCCCCGCCCCAAAGCATCTTGTGGAATTGTGGCTCCTCAATATTTAGTCTCATGAAATTTAAGCCCCCCACCCCACCCCCTTCATATTAGTCCGACTCCTCTCTTGGTTGAAATTAGTAGCATTCTCTTGCAATACGGTAACCAAACTTTTCGGATCATCGTATCATCTTATACTCTTGAAATGATCACTTGTGCTAAGACTTTCGACTCTGTAGAATAAGCTCGGCTGTCTGAAAGGAAAACACTCACCAGCTGTGACCAGCACGGCGATGCAGAAAGCCAAAATCAACCACTTCATCGTCATGTTCACCACAGTAGCCTGTCGTCGACTCGTCAGGTTACGCTTCTTCCACTCGATGATCACTTCAGTCCAATGTGTTCTTTTATACATTAGTTGCTCTTGTTTGCTTGTTGTCTTTTACAGCCTTGCCCCTCGTCCAAATATGTATCTCTATGATTTGTCATGGCCCCACCTTGACTCGAGGCATTCGTCAGCCTCCAGTCACGCTGCCCCAGTTATGATGTGAATTTTTCAGCACCATTTAATGCACTGATGTCAAAGTGCGGACCTCAAGGGCAGGTGTCCTGCATGTTTTCGTTGTCTCCCTGCTGCATCACGCCTGATTGAAATGATCAGGATAATTTTCTCCAATACAGCTTGCTGATGAGCTGATCATTTGGAACAGGATGTAGAAATATGCAATTCGCTTTAATTGTGTCTGTAAAACTACATTTTTTGAAAACCAAACATGTTTTATCACTGATACTCATATGCATGCTCTCTGAACATAAATGTAAGCTCTGCATACACGGTTTTCCATATTTTTGTTTGGGACTTGGCTGCTTCAGAGCCTGAGGGTGTAACCAAGATGACCTCGGTCATTCATGGTATTTAAGTGCATCCTTCACAGTGACTTGGAGGGTAAAATCGTAACAAAATACACAAATAAAAATAACACCCATCCACCAATCCATTTTCTCATCTGCTTATGCTCATAAGGGCCGCGGGCGTGCCGGAGTCCATCCCAGCCGTCTTCGGGCAGTAGGCGGGGGACACCCTGAAGTGGTTGCCAGCCAATTGCACGGCACGCATCGACGAACAACCATCTGCGCTCACGCTCACATCGAGTGACAATTTAGAGTGTTGCATTAACCTGCCACGCATGTTTTTGGAATGTGGGAAGAAACCGGAGGACCCGGAGAAAACCCACGCAAGCACGTGGAGAACATGCAAACTCCACATGGGAAGGCCGGAGCTGGAGTCGAACCCTGTCCCTCTTCACTGTGAGGCTGGCGCGCTTACCAGTCGACCACCATGCCGCCTAAAAATAACATGGAAGTATTTCTGAAGGGGTTGTCTAAACGGGAAAAGTAATTGCCTGAGGTGCCACTCTATTGCACTCTTCTCCACAGAGAACTGAGATGTTGTTCTTGATTTCATCCGGAGCCATTCATCCAGCTCTTTGGTTCCTGTCCCCCGGTGCCCTGATCACAACTGTGACCTTCCACATTTTCTCCACTTCTTCCTTCAGTTCTTGGTATTTTTGCAGCTGTTCATATTCCTTCCATTGCGATATCTACGCATGCCTACCTTCTTCTGCAATTTCTGCACCACCACTGTGTCAGACTAGGTGGCTATCATCAGACGCTCAGTCTGGATCTTGAAGTCGACAAATTGTAACTATGACTCGTCCAGCGACGGAAATTCGTTTGACACGCCAGACGATGCCAGTTTTTAATGCAGTAGCACCGGAGGAATAGGTCATGGGCAGTCGGCGTTGGACTTCAGCCATAGGTCTGAGATTTCTTAGGATTCTCTCAATCTTTTGACCATACGGACCATTAAGATCCCTGCGTTTCTTGCAGTTTTTTTGTTGGAAAACATTCTTGAACCGTTGGATGATTTGCTCTCGCAGCTGTTCACAAGGAGGTGAATCTCATCCCATGGTTGCTTGTGAACTCCCGAGCCTTTCACTGATGTTGCTTTTATCCCCCGTCATGACACTCACTCGTTTCCAATGAACCTCTTCACTTGCGGAGTATTCCGACCAGGTGTTATTTCGGCCTTCCGCAACTTTCACGGTATTTCTGTTGAGACGGGTTGCAGACATTGAACACAAAGTAGTAGAATATTTGCACGTATGTCACCTTAGTAGTGTATTCGATTGAGTATTGGTTGAAAAGGATGTGTAACCTATTTGACATTTTGCAAAACGCTCCAACTCCACGAGAAATGTAGCTTGTACTCTGTTCTCTGCAGCTGGATTCTCAATTCCTTTACTTGGTTCAATAAGAGGTAAACAACAACAACAAGAAAAAGTACATGAATCCAAAAATTTTCTTGTCATTCCCCAAATGAAGACAAACACTTTGAAAGCACCTTTGCTGAGCGAGGCACCAGGAGGATGGTGGTGAAGCTGGTGGTATGGTATGTGTGTTTGTTGTGTCCATGCCCCACGTTCACGCACATTGCAGTCGACTGCATCTAGTGCTGCCCCCATGAGTACAAATGCTTTTCTTGTGTTTTTGCGTGCTCAAAAGCCACTTTCGCCATTGGTCCAACAGGATAGTAGTTTCTTGTCTAGGGCAGGGGTCCCCAACCTTTTTTGCCCCACGGACCGGTTTATGTCAGACAATATTTTCAGGGACCGGCAATTAAGGTGTGGCGGAAATAATACAACAAAATAATATGGTATGAGCTGCATGAAAACTGTGGTGTTTTCGAAATATAATAATAAACACAAGGAGCGTCTAATCTGGCCGCAACACTCCAATCGCTATGGCAATGTTTAATGCCTTCAAAATACGATACAACGCAAATTCAAAGTGCATGAAAATGACCACTCACCACAGCCCCGAGCTTGATTTTCTGCAACCAGACGGTCCCATCTCGGAGTAATAGGAGACAATGACACCTCAAGTGTGTGTTTTGCGTCAAGTCTACTTCGTAATTTTGTTTTAGTCGCCGTTGCTGCAGAAAAGCCCCGCCTCACACAGATAGCATGTCGGAAATAGCAACAGTGCTACTATGGCGATCTCAGAATATTCAGCCATAACTTTAA